CGAAGTCTTGGGCTCTCTAGTGTCTGGCTCTTTACCCACAGTGGTGCTTTATTTTCACGTTATTTACAAAAGAGAAAGGATTGCTAGAAATGCTGTTAAAAATAATAAAATTAAGAATAAAAATAAAGAATAATAGTAAATAAGAAAATCAATAAAGACAGTAATAAATAGGAAAATAAATAAGAAAATAACTCATTTGCCTGGCAGACATCTGCATGGATTTGTCCATTCTAGCTGGGGAAAGGCATTGCAGAGCCTGTCCCTGAGCCCTCTCCGCGCTGCAATGCCTTTCCTCCCAGCAGAGCTCTGGTCTATACTGGGCTAGATTTAAAATGCATTGAGAGTCGTGCACCTGAAAATAGCGGAGATGCTCACTGCATGGGCTGGCTTCCTAGGATCACTTTCAGCTGTGAAGGGTGATGTTACTGTGCATCCGCTACACAGATAATTTGGATTTGATGAATATCTTTTGTCCAGCAAAGCCCAGGCTTTAAAGAATTTGTTTCCTTCCTTTTCAGAAGAGCCAAACGGAGCCCAGGCCCCTCCAGTTAGGGAGCCTGGTGTTGCTCTGGGTTGACCGGAGGGGTCCTGCTCCCCCCAGCCCCAAGGATTCACGCCCCCCAGCAAATTTAATGCAGTGCAGGGCGGCTCTTCGCTGCACGGAGAGTGCCTCCCTCATCCCCTCCAGCCTCAAAATTAAGCCGGTTAAATCAAAATGCAGCATCCCACGGCGGAGCAAATGGCAAGGGGAGAGGCGTGCTGGAATCCTGGTGCTCAGCCCCCCAGGCTCGGTTATTTGGGGGTCCCAGGAAGAGCAGGGTGGGGGGGCTGAGCTCATTTTTAGCCTCTGTGTTCACAGCACTTACCCCATGTTAAGCAAAAGGGAGCAAAGCCCAGGGATGGCGGGGATGCCTCCGCCGCCTCCTGCCAGCCTTCCTAATGTGTGGTTTTTTTTTTTCTTTTGCAGGCCTATACAATTCAGGGACAATACGCCATTCCACACCCGGATGTGAGTTTTACCCTAATTTTTCTTATACCCTTTTATGTCACCTGCATGCTACCGTTAATTCACAGAATATTAATATTAGACAATAATATTAATAGCATATTTTCAAAGTAACTGGCCGTGTGTAGTATCTGTAATACCTTGAATAGCCTTTTATCCTGATAGTACTAAACTTTATTCATTCTGAGGACTTGGCCTGACGCTAAATTGTTCGCATTGTTCAGTGCTATCCCTTTGTTCTGAGACAAACCATCCTCTATGCATTTTGTGCCTCAAAATGATCAAAAACATGCAAAGGAAGGGGAAATTTAAAAAAAAAAAAAAAAAGAAAGAAAGACTTTTCCTTCGATTTCGGCTCCTTGGTGCGGAGACAGGCACCGCTCGGGCTTGAGGCACAGAGGGGTTTTGCTGATGCTCGGATGCTCCTGCTCAGGGTGGGTCATGGAGCCAGAGCATGTATGCGGGGTGACATGTAGGGAACATCTGCTGGCATGTCTGCACGTAAAAGTACTGACAGAAATAGAAGACGAGTCTATTGTAAAGGATTTCTCGATTAAAAGCAGCAGCGAAGCACTGCAACGCCAGCAGCTCTGTGCTTGGCTTCTGGGGTCGACACGTGCCAGGGAGCTCTTGGGAAAAAGCTGAGATTTTCCTAAATGTGGTTCAGAGGGGAGAAAATACCCGGCGAATCCCACTGCAGAGTCTTCTTCTTGCTGGCATGCCTGTGAATCAGGGGTCCGGGGCAGGGGCTGAGCACAAAGTGCTGCCCTAGGGACGCGGCTTTGTTGTACGTGATGTGGACTGGGTGGAATGGTTTGGGTGGAAACCCTTCTCCAGCCCTCCCCCACATGGGAAGGGGATGGTGTAGCTCGGTGTTTTTCATTCAGATGGGTGGGTTGGGTATTAAATTGTGGGATTACTTTTTGCACGATTGAGAAGGGGGCAAGGCTGTCCGACACCACCCAGTTAGGAGCTGGAGGTTGGATTTGGATCTTAGGAGCAGTGATTTCACCCAATTTAGTGGAGTCTTCGGCTTTCCATACGACACCACGGTGCATCTACTTTGAATAGCCTGATGTGATGGTTGCTCAGAAATATTCTTAATTCACTTTTGCTCCCCAAGAGAAATATAAAGAAATAAACCTGCATATTTAGCAAGGGTAGATCAATATATTTGTTGTCTCCATTCTCCTTTGCAAGCAGTGGTGACAGTGTAGTGTTTTCCTTATTATACTCCTCTGATTGTCAGGATTAAAATACATTTGATATGTTTGCTGTCTGCGTTTGCCCTACTCCCAGCAGATTTGCTGAGACCTGGAAAAAGTTGTTGGTACAGGGGCTACATCCTCCATCCTTCCTCTCATAGCCCTCTCACAAGGGTCGGTCGTTTTAAACACTGCTCGGTGCTGAAACCAGGCTTGAATGTGATTTTAGGGCATCGCCCTTGCTCTTGCAGGTGTTTGTGTTTAGTGGATGCCTTTTGCAGACCCGTGACTGCAGAGCAGGCAGAATTTCCAATGCCAAAGCTGAAATGAAAGCTCCTGCCTTGAGTTTTCTCCCCTGGGGAAAAAACCTACCAAGGTTAGCTAGGAGTTTTGGCTCCCAAAGGTCTTCAGGCATTGCTCAGATACTTGTATTGGTTGGGATGGGATGTTGGAGGTACCTGCCTTGGCGAAATCCACGGTGGGAGATGAAAGGATGGCCATGGCAGCTGACAGCTGGGGACACTCAGGAGTGAAATAAATGTTAAGCGCTCTCAGGTTTTTGCTTTCAGCTTCTTCCAGGAAACTGGAGAGGAGCTGTTTCGGGAACTGCAAGCATCCATGTAGCAGGTTTTACTTAAATACTTAGGTGTAGCCATCCTCTCCTCCTGTAGGATTTTTTTATTGCTGTTATTGTGGATCTTTGCTAAATACCACTGTCTTAAAAATATGCTGGATCAGTATAAGAAAATATTTTGGTGTTTCCCCCATTGGGTGAAGCAGGACCCCTGCCCTGGGGTTTGAGCCCAGGAAGGTCTGCCTCCATGGTGCTCCTCGGCAGCTCCAGCAAAGACGCAGGAGGTTTTATCTGGAGTCCTGCTGGTGGGACCAGTTGGAACAAGGAGTTCCACAACTAATTTGGTAGACAACAGGATAATTCCGAAATTAAGAATCCATAGATGCTGATGTCCCTGCTACCTGCAGTGGCATGCCCGGTCCAAACCAGAGCTGACTGTGTTGCAGCAGGAACCCACCGTAGGATGATTTCGGCATATTTCCTGGGCTCTCCTGGGGGGAAGCCCTCCCGCCAAAGCCAATGGGTCCTGGATGTCCTCACGCCTCTGCCAGGAAGGGCTCCTTGGGTACCTCTCTGGGGTCTCGCAGGCATTCCCCATCCCCGCTGCATCCCTCCAGCCTCCCCTCCAGTGTGCGCAACCCCCCAGGTACCCAGCGCTTCCCCCTCGCCGCTGCTGGCCAGCCCTCCCCGCGCTCCCTCCCCAGCCATGCTGCAGGAGCAAGGAGGTTTTTGAGTAATTATTTACTCCCCCCCCCCCCCCCAAAAAAAAATCAAAAAAGGGGAACCCCCCCCTCCC